CCGGCGCACCTGGCGTGGGGGCGAGCACGCACGGCGTGGTGGGGGGGGTGGGCGTGCGTGGAGCGGGAGAACGTTCGTGGGGACTTGGGGGAGCACGCACAGGGCGTGGGGCAGGGCGCTGCGGCCATGGGGTGAGCGCGCACGGGGTGGAGGAGCGTGCAGGGAGTGCGGGGTGAGTGTGCATAGTGCGGGTGAGCATGCATGGCGTGGGAGAAGTATAGGCGGCGCGGGTGAATGTGCACAGCAGGAGCGTGCTCAGAGTGTGGGTGACTGCACAGGGTGCGGGGTGATTGTGCATGGCATGGGTGCGTGTGCATGGAGAAAGTGAGCGGTGAGGGTGAGCGTGCATGGAGTGCGGGGTGACTGTGCGCAGCCTGGTGTGAGCGTGCGTGGGGTGTGGGGTGAGTGCGGGCAGTGTGGGTGAGCGTGGGCAGTGTGGATTGAGTGTGCTTGGGGCATAGGGTGAATATGCAGGGTGTAGGATGAGTGTGCGTGGTGTGGGTAAGCGTCCGCGGGGTATGGAGAGAGTGTGCACGGTGCGGGGAGTGAGTGTGCGTGCAGAGGGTAAATACACGGGGCATGGAGTGAGCGTGCTCATGGAGAAGGGTGCTCGCAGCGTGGGATATGTGGGGGGTATGAGGAATGGGGATGAGTGTGCCCGCGGTGTGGGGGGTGCACAGGACACTGGGGGTGCACAGGGGTATCGGGATACGTGCATGGGGGCTGGGGGTGCCTGGCATGAGCTGAGGGTTTGCAGGAAAGTGTCCCTGCTGGTGTGAGGCACGTGGGTGCTTGTCTGTGTGCACAGGGGTGTGAGCGTGAATGGCACGTGCTGGGGGTGTGACTGTGTGTGGGCACAGAGTGTGGCCACGTACAGCCCGTGGAGGCACTGAGCCCATTTTGGGTTCCCCCAACCCAGGGCTGGGGCCAGGAAAGCAGCGCCGTAAGGCCGATGCCTTTGGAGGAGCGGCAGCCGTGGCTCTGGCTTCCCTCGACGTGGCCACTGAGCGCTCCCTGCCTCAGTTTCCCCACGAGCCCTCCTGGGCTGGGCACCCAGGTTGTGCCTGTCTCCTTGGCACCATCACCCAATGCTCGGGTACCCCTTTCACTCGTGGGGTCCCGCTGCGTAGGGGTCTCCCATCTGGAAGCTGTGCGGTGGTCTTGCAGGCTGTCCCTGTGTCCTGGTGCTGCTCCCTTGGGGACAGGAGAGTGGCCCTGGGAAAGACGAGGGTAACTCAGCGAGCACCATCTGCCCCAATGCAGCCCCTTCCTGGCCATGGGGACACTTGGTGTCCCCTGAGTTTGGGTCCCCACCCTGGGGCTAGGGGGGCTCCTCTTGGGTGCTGGTGGCTGGGAGGGAGCAGGCGGTGCCCCCGCAGCTCCCCGGTGTCCCCAGCCACCGCAGCCCACGCCACGCTGGTGTTCGCGCCGTAAACAGCCGGGCGGCAGCTGGCAAAGCACTCTCCCCCCGGGCGGGCACCACGCGTCTCCGCGCCGGCAGAGCAGCGCTGGTGGGGGCTGCCAGCACCGCTTGCGTGTCGGTTCCTGTTTGCACCAGGGAGGAAAATGCATTTCCTTTGGGAAATGAGTTACAATCTGGGGTTGGGCCCGAAGGCTGTGCTGTGCCCCCTGGGGACTCTGGGTGCAGGGGGGTGGCATCCCCACTGAGGTCCCTTTTTCAGTCCTGGGGGTGCTGACTGTTCTGCCCACAGCTCCACTCCCGAGCTGCGGGCAGGTGGGAGAACTGGCATGGGGCCGGCATCTACCCTCCAACTTCCCTGCCCACACAGCTTGGCAGGAGTGGGGTTTGCAGACCCTTCTGTCCCTGAGTGCAGAGAGGTCCCTTGCACAGCATCCCCTCAGCATCACTGCTCCCACATAGCTGCTGCCCTCCTGAATACCCCCAGCACCCAGCGGGCGATGTGGGGTGTCCCACAGGAGTTTGGTAGTGATGTCAGGACCCACCCCAGCCACCCTGCTGCCATAGGATGCTTGTCCTCTTGCTGCAGGCTTTGGCTGATGGGAGGTTCGGTGTCAGGGCTGGGCAGAGAACACCGGGGGACTTGGAGGGGTGGCACTCACTGGACCCCGATGTAGAGGCCACTGCTCCTGACCGCCCCACCTCCTCCCACCCAAGACCCAGCTCATGTGCTCTGTTTCCCTTCTGCACCCCAGTACAGGCTGATTGGACCAGTAGTACCTTAGTAGCTGGGGACAGACAGGGGAGCAGCCCCCTCTGCCAGGCAGCACCCTGTCTCGGGTGTCCCCAGCAGGTCGTCACCACCTCCTGCTTTCTCAGGCCACCCCAGGGGTTACACCCAGGCATGCACTGCCCTTGACCTGGAACCACCGGCAGGTGTCCTGGGGGCTCCTTTTGGGGGTCCCCTGGCAAAAGCGGGGCTCCTTCCCACCTGGAGGCAACTCCTGCAGCTCCGGGGACCCTGGCACCCAGGCTCTGGGAGCGCAGATGTTTGTGTGTTCGTTAGGATCTTGCGCACAAATAAATGTGAAGGCAAATCAGAGGGGAAACGCTTTCATCCTCCTCCAGCCCTTAATGACATAATCGCCTCCAAGAGCGGGTGTCTCACTCGCACGCTCCTGCTGACTTGGGGAGGAGGCCGGCCGCTGCGTCCCACCATCTCAGCGCTCAGAGCAGGGACAGGCGGGGAGGACCTGTTCCCTCATGTCCCAGCAACGTCCCGGGGCTGAAGAAGAGCCAGGTGAGCCCTTTGCTCCAGCCTTTCTTCTGCGTCACACCGGCAAAGCCCTTAAGCACAAGATTAAGCATCTGTTGTGGCACGGGGAACTGGGGGCCTACGGGACAGGATCTGGCCCCTCTGAGCAGGGATGGGTGCAGGCAGGCATGCGAGGCTGGTGGAGGATGCTCTGGTCCTGATGGGAGCGTCAAGGCTCAGGGCAAAAGTTGGGCCTTCTGTGAGCACCGCAACTGTCCTTGTCACTGCTGCAGCCCTCCGGTTGGGGACACAGGGCCACGGGGCCATGGGATGTGCCACTTCCCAGCTTCTCTCCCATCTCCAGCACCCCTCAGCAGCCCCATGCTCTGCAGGGGCCAGCCAGGGATGTGGGAAGCACTCAGAGCTGGCATGAGGGGTGTTGCTCCCCAGAGCCAGGGTGGGAAAGGTGATGGGGGGTCCCTGGCACAGGGCACCATGGGCATGCCGCTGGGAGCTTCCATGTCCAGGCCAAAGCACCCAGGCAGTTCCCATCCTTCAGCAGCTTATGTGGTGCCCCAGCATGTGCTTTGTGCAGGGGACCAGGAAGCATCCATCCCTCTTCCTCTCCATCCTCCCTTCCCTCCATCCTTCTAGCCCTCTGCCCCTCCATCCCTCTAACCATCCCTACACCCCACATTCTCCTGCCTAGCCCCCGGGCTGACTGCACTTTCCCTGCTCCTTTCCACTTCCCTCTTGCAGGAGCAGGTCCTCCCAGCACCCCACGCCACAGGCTCCACACCCCCAGGAGAATGGGGCTGGCTCTTCTGTTGTCATCTCCATCATCCCTTTCCAGCACCTCTCCATGCAGCCCATGGCTCGCTGGCTCCGTTCCCCCCTTCCCTCCTGGCAGATGCCCTCCCTTAGCCCCTTCTGCCTTGGGATAAGCAACTTGCAAGCCCTGTGCCCTGGGCAGTCATGCGATGGTTTTCATAGGCACTGGATGGAGGGTCTCTGGCATCTCCATGGAGCAGTAGGTCATCTCTCTGGGGCTTTGGGATGTCCAAGGATGACCACCTAGAGACCCACAGCAGGGAAGGCAGGGGTCAAGGTCTACGTGCTGTGTCATGCTGCTCCCACTTGATCTCACAGACTGGCTGCAGGCCTGCGGATGGGACTGGGGGACAGCACAGGGAGAAAACAGCCTGCTCCAGCCAAGCACAGTCCTGGCCATGGAGGGGCTGATGGCCCCCGGGACCACCAGGTCCAGCCAGTCTGTGCCGGATGGGGCAGCTCTGCTAACATAGAGCAGGGGTGCAGGGGGAAGCACTGGGGAACCCCAAAGCATAGTGGAGCAGGAGGATGGGCAGAGATGGAGAAGCACCAGGACAGACACTCAGTCTGGTGCCACTGGGACCTGGAGGCCAGAGGGGAAGGGTGCTGGGAGCTGCATGGCTTGCAGTCTGCAGCAGGGTATGCAAGCTGGTGAGGAGGAGGAGGAAGGAGAGGTTCGCTGGGAGCCCATGCAGCCAGCCACTCATGTAGCCTTTGCCATCCTGCAGCACGGCTCTCCTCGCTCCCCTGCCCGGCAGCACCCACGGGACCGGAGCAACGGCTGCGTGAGTCAGGGCTGGGCGTGGGGTCGGGGCGACCCTGCCTTTTGCGGCAGCATTAGTCACTGTGCCAAGCTGCCCCAGCCCGGCAGCCCCGGAGCCCCCAGCATCGCTGCCCTCCCACTGGCTCACACCCCACGACCTGCCCCAGTCTGCTCGCCGTGACTCAGGAGCCAACCGCACGGCCACCCGGCCGGCCCGGCCAGTCCTCCTGGCTGCCCGGGGCTGGGGCGCTGGCAGGGCCCAGGGCAGCAGGTGCACGCCAGCCCCAGCATCGGCACTCGGCCACGCTGCCCCTCGCGTTGGGGTGGAGAGGCAGGATCTGGCCGCCTGCAACCATCCCCAGAATCATCCTTGCAGTGAGGCAGAGCTCCCCTCCTCATCCTCTTCCCACCACGCAGCAGTGGGTGCTACAGTGGCGGCAGGGTGCAGGGAAGGGGCTGGGGCCCCGCCGTGGGTACCATCCTGTGGGAGCCTCGAATGCCGGGGCTGGGGCAGGCCCCCACCAACGCTGCATCCCCTACACTGCAGGGACTGGCTGTGCAGGGGGACGTTGCATGGCAGAGCAGCCTCCCAGCTGGTTGGAGTGCTGGTAAGACCGGGATGGGGGATCCCAGCCCTTGCACTGCCTCTGGCAAGGAGAGCGCATCCCCAAAGGGCCAGTCCGCCAGCTGAGGCGGTGGGGAGGTGGCTGGATCAGGACTGGCCAAGCACATCTGTGCGGCACTGCCACAGGCACCTCTCCCCTGCAGGGAGGGATGCACGGCCCCCGGGATGCGCGGAGGGTACTGGTCCCCATGCGGGGAGAGCAGGTTATGGAGTCGCCTCAGCAGCCCCTTCTCCCACGGCTCCCTGCTCGGGGGGTGTGCATAGTCAGAGCCCCCTCCCCAGAGAGGGAGGGTGGCTGCTGCCTTCATT